CCCCCCCCCCCCCGCCTTTCTCACGGGCTCGGTTGTCACGGTAACCGTTGTCTCAGTGACGGTCTCACTCAGCCCGGCCCCTGCCTCGGCCATGGCTAAGGCTGAGGACAGGGAGGAGGGGAGGAAGGGGGACGACACGCCCTTCCTTTTCTCTGTGTCTCAGGGTTCTAAGCGGGCCGGGCCGGACTCAGGGTGGCAGCCACGATCCTCCACCTTCTTTTTTCCCCCTCCTCCTGGGCCTCCGTTTCCCCACCCCTGGGGAGAACCTGTCCAACCCCACTTCCGGCCCGCTGCTTCCGGGTGTGACGCACTCCGTAGTTCCCCTTCTCCCTTCCACGGCACTGCACGCGTCTAAGCGCAGGCGTCGCCGGATTAGTTCCGCCGTAACGTGACAGTGCGCAGGCGCCGCCAGCAGGAGCCACTGACTTGGCGGAAGAGGCGTCACTGCGGGTGTGGCGCGTGGGCGGCGGGGCGCAAGCGCTGCCGAGTAGCGCCAGGAGGGGCGGTCCGGAAGGGCAGAGCCCGTGGGGCGCCGCAGCGCGGGTGTGGGGATGCGGGATAGGGGTGCGGCCCCCGGTGCAGTGGGTGCGGATGCGGATGCTGCCCGGTGCAGTGGGGTTGGGGGTACGGGATGGGGGTGCAGGTGCAGGGGAGAACATCTGTCCTGGCGGTAGTAACCACCCCGCCTGAGCCGGTCTTCCGTTTCCTTGCCTCTGGGAATGGAGAATTGGGCCCCAGGAGCAGGGAGAAGCACTCGATCAGGAATGGGTTGTGGGATGGGGGGCACCTGAGTGGCTCAGTCCTGGAGCGCCAGACCCTTGATTACCAGTTGGGTCGTGATCCCAGGATCGTGGGATGGAGTCCTTCGTGGGGCTCCGCACTCACAGCGCAGACCTTGTGTGAACTTCTCTGTCTCTCAATATAAATAAACCTTAAAAAATAAAGTAAATAAAAGAATGGGTTCTGGCGGTCGCCCTGTGTGTGCAGGTGTTGGGGCAAGGTCCTTAATGGGGCCTTCAACTGGGATTGTTGCTGGCTCTGTGTTCGGCCTTACAGCTCCCAGCCTGATGGGGAAGCTGTAGGACTAACATCTTAGACACTTAAAGATACTAATCTCTTCTGTGAAACTGAATTTACTTACTTCTTGCCAGCACGCTCTCTGGGGTGGAGGGGAGTACGATCAAGCACAGAAATGGTCGTAAGTTTGTGTGATGATAGAAACAGGTGCATGTTTCTAAGGAAGCAAAGAGGGGTAAAAGGAACTGGAAGGCGGCAAATGGCTTTTTGTTTGGTAGAGAGCTGTTTACAAATTCAGTGTGTGCGCTGAAGAAAACGCAGTTTTGCGTTGCTTGGGATGTAAGAGGAGTAAGGGATGTAAGGGGAGGCTTGGCAGGTAGGTGCGCTTATGCAGGAGGTCCCGTATGTTGCTCAGAAACTTGGACCTTACCCAGTCGGTGTTATGGGCCAGGGGAGGCTTAAAATGGGGTAGATAAAACGGATTTGTTTCAGATTTCAGAAGTGGGGTGGGAAAGTTCGGATGCAGGGTGAAGTCTGCCCTGTGCATCCCTCCAAGTTGCTATGGGGGTCAAACAAGACAGGGTAGGGGCGCCTGGGTGGCTCAGTCGGCTAAGTGTCTGACTTCGGCTCAGGTCATGATCTCATGGTTGGTGAGTCTGAGCCCCAAATCAGGCTCTGTGCCGATAGCTCGGAGCCTGGAGCCTGCTTCTGATTCTGTCTCCCTCTCTCTGCCCCTCCCCTAGTCACACTGTTTCTCTCTCAAAAATAAACTTAAAAAAAAAATTAAAAACAAACAAGACAGGGTAAGTTTGCAAGCCCTGAACATATAAAGGCCACACAATTACAAGGTAATCATGGTTACTATCACCCTTTGATCACCATTTAAGCCAAGGAATGCAAAAATACAGATTTCCAGAGTAAATCTGAATATGTTGTGTTTGAACTACAAGTTTTTGGTTCAAACTGATAAAAATCAAGATACAACTCAGCATGTATAGTAAAGCCCATTAACAAAGACAGTATCTCTGTGCAGTGGGATTCACAAAAAAATACTCTTTTCTTTTTGCCTCTCTATATACGATTACGATGAATATGTATTACATTTATCTCAAGGGCAATAGCAAAACAATTTTCAAAGTGTCCATTGGTACCAAGTACATACTGTTATCCCTTGGTAACAGATGTTTTGTTGTCCAAATTCACATGTCAAGAGATCTGGTTAAGTTACCTGTTGAATATCCCACTCTCCCAACTCCTATGTTTGTTTCCCTAAACTCAGGAACCAAATACATTTAGTGATGGAAGACTTATAATTACTTTTTTATATTAGTCCCATTCTTGGCTCTTTTTTTTTCTTTCTTGTTCTAATTTATATTATTTTTTGTAGCTCATATACTCACTGAAAGAACAAATATATCTCTGTAAGTTCATTTAAATTCCTGTCAGAACAAGACATATTATAAATAACATACAGATGTCTGGCTTATATAAAAAAATATAACTTTAATAAGGAAAAATAGAGTAAGTGTACTCTGGGGACAATGACACATAATAATGTCCTATGGGAGCAAACCATTGCACCTAGGATGGACAAGGGATCTAAGAACCCAATATCCTTCACCTTCCAAGGAAGAGAAGAGGGAGGGATTGCTGAGTCGCCCAGAAAAAAAAATCAAGAGTCTTCTTTCTCCTGAAACCTATGGAGAAAGAAAGGAGTCATTATATTTGAGCAAAAGAAGAGGCTCCAGCATAAGACAAGACATTCAATTAAAAGATCAAAGGAGGAGGGACACCTGGGTGGCTCAGTCGGTTGAGCATCAGGCTCAGTTGACAGCGTGGAGCCTGCTTGGGACTCTGTCTCCCTCTCTCTCTGCCCCTCCTCTGCTCACACTCTCTCTTTCAAAAATAAACAACTAAAAAAAAAAAAAGTTAACAAATGGGGCACCTGGCTGGCTGATTCCAGGTGCATGTCACTCTTGATCTCTGAGTTTGAGCCCCATATTGGGTGTAGAGGTCACTTAAAAATAAAATCTTAGGAGCACTTCCTAAGGTTGGGTGGTTCAATCGGTGGAGCATCTCTTCTTTTAAGTTTATTTGTTTAGTTTGAGAGAGAGCAAGGCGGGGGAGGGGCAGACAGAGAGAATCATAAGCAGGCTCTGCACACAGATCCCAACGTGGGGCTGGAAGTCTGGAACCCTGAGATCACGACCTAAGCCGAAATCAGAAGCGGGACGTATTAACTGGAGCATCTGACTCTTGATTTCGGCTGAGGGCATGATCTCAGGGTCATGGGATCAAGCCCTGTATTGGGCTCTGCGCGGAGCATGGAGCCTGCTTGAGATTCCCTCTGTCCCTCTGCCCCTCTCTCTCCCACTTGCGCTCTAAAATAAAATTTTAAAAATAAATAAATAAAGTATGATTTAGAAATTGGGAATTATTAATTATGACAGAAGATATTTGAAAAATAAGTAGAACTCAAAAAAAATTTTTAAGTAACAATAATTGGAATAAACTGAAGACAGAATTAGTGAACTGTAGGAGGCTGTAAGAATTAACCCAGAGGCAGCATGACGAGAAAAGGGATGGGAAAAAATGAAACACAGAAGGGGGCTTAATAAACTGATTAGAGCTCTAGAATGTGAAAGTTGAGAACATGGGGTAAAAGCGATATTTAGTGAGATAATGGCTGATAATTTTCCAAGGATGACGGAGGAAAATAATCCTGTTCTAGAAAGTCCAGCACAGGATCAAGAAAAGAAAGCACATCCTGATATACTCTGGTGAAACTACAGAACACCAAAGACGAAGGACTGAAGGCACACGCGATTAATGCTCAGAAAAGGAAAACTAACTCGAGTGTAGAGGAAATTCCAACATAACATGCGAGCAATACTCGCCTTCCAGTTTTCCTTTTGCTTTTACATATCTCAAAAGGGTTAGTTCACTGGCTATAAAAAGGCTAAGAGAAATGTAATTTTCAAAAATAAAACCCCACAAATCCCCCTATTACCTGAACTGAACAGAAATAAGGGACGGGAACAGAGAAACTAACGGTTTATCCCGCACAGGGAGCAAATCAGCGCATCAATGTGGTTAGCGAACAGAGAAGGGGCAGAAGGCAGCAGGACACGCACCTGCAGCTGGTGCAGGTGTAGAAGACGGTCTGCCCTTCGTCGGCTGAGCGCATCTGCCGGGTGTGGTAGGCCATTCCCTCGTGGCCGCATCGCGAGCAGCGCCGGTCCACCTGGCGGGTCAGCACGGGCGTGTCAGGGGGTCCTGGGGGGCCCACCCAGAACCAGAGCCCACGGTCCTCACACCACACGCTGCTGCTGCAGACACCCCGCTTCCCTCTCCGGGATCTGGGTCCCGATCTCTGCGCTCACGCCTGCATTTCCTCCCCGCGCTCCCTGCTGGGGCCAGTCCGCGACGTCGGTTACTTACCACGGGCCCCTGGAACTCAGGCCCCTCGTCCGCCGCCACGGGCACCGCCGTCCCCACCTTGTGGAACACAAACGTGGTCCTAACCACCTTCTGCTCGAAGTCTGCGCGCAGCGAGAACGGGTTATGGACATGGGCGGGGAGGGGGCGCTGACCCCACTCCCCGCGCCCGCAGGCTCCGGCCGCCGCGCCAGCCCCTCACCTCGCACGTCGACGGAAAAGCCACAGCGGATACAGGTGACCGTGTCCTCAACCCCGGGCAGGGGCAGGATGGAGCCGCAGTCCGGACAGAAGTCCAGGTCCGACTGGAAGTGGGAGCGGGAGCGCCCAGAGTCCATGAGCCACACGAGGTAGGGGTCTGTGCGCGCGCTAGCGGCCGGTCTCCCCGCCGGTCTCCCCGCCGGTCTCCCTGTCGGTCCCTGGACGTGGGCGGGCCTCGCCGGTGCCCTCCACCGAGCCCTCCTCCTCTCCGCCCGACCGCGACTGCGCAAAGCGTGTCGCGCAACGCGAGGCGAGCGCCATTGGTTGTGACGTCATACGTGAGCGCGACCGGCCTGTCCCCGCGACCCAGCTGCAGGCGCCATTTGCTGTGACGTCATAAGTGAGCGCGGCTGTGGCCGGAGGTTCCCGGAGCCGGATCAGGACATCTGCGGAGGACGTAGGGGCGCTGCCTTCCCCCTGGTTCTGCGGGTTCGGGAAACTGGGTAATGAGCATTGCGCCTCCGGTCGCTCCCTCCCTGAGGATCCAGTCCTGGGATAGTTGTTTTCTTGGATCAATCGTTGGGGCACTGCCCCTGAAAAACGAAGGAGCCTTCCCGAATACTTGATTTCTTGGGACTGTGCGGCCCTAGAGCCGGAATTTCCCTCTTGGGGCTGCGCTGAGGAGGAAAGCTCAGCTCGGAGTCCGGACCGTCAGGTTCCTGCGCTCCCGGGGCCTCCTGCCCCGCACGCCCGCCTCGGGGACTGCCCTGGGCCCGAGGAGGAGTGAGCGGGCTTCTTGAGGCGCAGGAGGTGCTGCGGGTGGATCTGGGGAAGCGGGACAGGTCCTGACACGCCTCCCAGGTGAGGCCACGGCCGTGGGTAGCGTTTCCCCATGCCGTAGGCTGACTTCGGGTCTGGGACCCACCTCCACCGGGGCCTCCGGCTCCTGTCCAGCCAACTGCGAATTGCCGGCGTCCACTGGGTAGACAGCAGACATTTCCGTAATACGTGAGTTAAAACACACAAGACCGAGCTGTTTTCATTCGTCTGTAACCTACAGTCTAAAGTAGAAACTCGTGATCCTGAAGGGACGGCCTCTCGTTGGCGGTCCTACTTCCCTCCCAGCCCACCAGCCCAGCCAAGCGGACGGCTGTGCCGAGTCCTTTACATACGGAGTGGTGGAGCCACCACTGTACCTTCTGGAGATGAGCTGTGATTCCCTCCTCGGGAAGGGCCCCGCTCCACCGTTTTCTGCAGTAATGGAAACACACAGTAGTGAAGGGATTGAAACTCGGAGCAAGCTACTGAGCAAGACAGGCCCCATAATTTCACTTACCTGGCTGTCACGTGGTCTTAAGGGGGTCTGGTGCTGAGCCCATTGTGTAGGCAGTTTCTATGTGTGTCCTTTGGAAATGGACATCGAAATGAGCTCTTCCCCTCTCTCTCTCCCTTTTCACTTTGACCAGTATTCAGTGCCCAACCACCGTGAGCTGAATACTGTCCTCATGTGTCAGCATTGTGAGGCGTGGCCCTTTCCCAACACAACCTCACTGATGAGGCACTTATGCCCAGTCTTTAGGCCAAGGCTGGGCTGCAAAGTTGCAGACTATTATCTGACCATCAGGAGCACAAAGGATTAGAATGCAGTCCGAGTACTGGGAGGGCAGAGTGAGAGTCAAGGACCAGCACAGGACACGGAAGTGCTTGTACACCTTAAGGGAGACTAGCAAGTGTCCCAGTGAAAAGGGAGATACGGCAGTATAGGGAATGTAAGAGAGGAATATGCCCATGTCATGTGATAGGGATGATCAACCAACAGATCATTTTGAGCACTTGGGATCACATACTCATGTTAGGTGCTGTGCTAGATTCTGTGTATGGAGAAATAAGTAAGGTGGTCATATTTTTAAAATATCAACATGGGTCATTGCAATGTATGTTACCTAAAAGTTAAATTAAAACAATATAAAAAGGTATTTATAGGCAAACAGGAATGTGCCTAAGAGGTCAGGGAGATCCAATGTTTGATACCAGATTCATTACAATAATATAACCACATTGTGTTTGTAGATATAAATTGTAGTTACACCCTTTAAGAGTCTAAATTTCAGCATGAAAATGTTAAAAATGATACAGGAATATGGGTGTCTCGGTGTAAACCCCAATTGGTTTTCAAATGAATCGTAGAAGTAGAAAATGTTAAGTGTTCAGAAGGCAAAAATCACTGTTACATAGAATCATCCAGAAAGACTTTATAGAGAGCCAGGGCTTGACCTGTGGAAGAGAGATGACTGCCATCTTATAGGGACTTACCATATGTCAAGCATTGTGCGAGGCTCTTCCATCTAAACCACCTTTGTTCTTTATGACCCCTGAGAAGCAGGTTTTTGTCTTACATCTCCATTTTATAGATGAGGAACCTGACTTAGAGATGGCTACTTGCCCTGAGTCACACACCTCAGAAGCCATGGAATTAGGGCTCAAACAGCTTGGGCAGGCTTCAGAGCCCATGCTCTTTACCATAAATAGCACAAACAGAGGCACAGAGGTGATGTGCCAGACACCCCCAGTGGCTCCACTACGACCTCATAGTGACTCAGACCAGGAATGACACATGAAACGTTGGCAGCCTTGTGTAGCCATCAGCCTGACCAATTACAAAAAGTCACCCCAAATTCCTATCCTAAGGGGGTTCAATGAGGAATGGTCTCATAATGGATCTGGGGTGAAGGATGAGTGGCAGTGTAAGGCCGGCAGGTGTGGAGGGGTGGGCAATCAGATGAGAACAGGGTTTCAGAACAAAAGGTTGGAAGGCAGAGATGCTGTATGTGCTGATAGAGGCGGAGAGGGCCCGGACCGAGAAACTGCGGAAAGAGAACAGACTCCTGACCCTGCGGTGTGGGACTGTCCCCAGAGAGGGCGGCTGGGACACTGAGCCGTCCAGCGGAGATGTGCCTGTGCAGCGCCTCACCAAGGAGCGGGTCTCTTCCCCCTCCCAGTCCCAGATTCGAGACTCAGAGTGGCTCACGTGGAATCCGCGGGACATGTGTGCCTTTTGTTTCTATGAGAAGATTTTATGCTCTTATTAAATTCTCCATCACAGGGATGCAGTGGTTTCCCATGGAGGACATGGCCCTGGAGTAGCCCTGCCTCTTAGCAGGTTTTCTCTTTCTGGGGGGACATGCCCTTGGCCTTGACCAAAACACTTCGGTTTTTTGGTTCAGTCAGTAAGTGAGTAGATATGTTCTGACACTGCTTACGTGCCAATCTACCTCTGCCTTTTTATCTTCCAGATTGTCCTGGGCTAAAATGTCTACAGACCCCAGGATTGCTACAGGTCAGCTGTCCCCACTGGAGAAGAAAATCTTGGTAAGTAATCTTCACGTCATATGGTTTGGAACTACTAGGAGAGGAGCCTTGGGTTTAAAACTCTGCCCAGGTAACCCCTGTCTACACTGGCAGATGTGTTTCACTATATCTATGCTTGCAAAACAAAATACTATGTTGAAAGCACCCAATACTATATTTTTAAAGCACTAGTTATTGATTTTGGTGGGGTAATTTAACTTTCAGAGCTCATGGGTTCACCTAGGAGTGATGGGAGTAGAAATCACAATTATTACACCCACGTATCTTTTCTGGCTGTCAGTAATGAGGGTATGCTCCTGTTTAAATGTGTTCAGAGTGAAAAGATGGTCCCATTATGAAATCCTCTACCTCACTTTGACAGAGTCTGGGTGGTGTGCATACAACAGCGACAAGACAACTGATAACTCAGAAATACCAGGAGGAGTACGAGACACTGTGTAGGGAGCAGGCTCTTTCTCATGACTACTGGCTTGCCAAAACAGAGTCTTACTATAATAAAAGAATAGTGGAGATGAGGGAACAAGAGACAGGGTGTGAAATGGAGAAGAAATTGAAGGGGGAAACAACCCAAAGCGTGGAGAGACAAAAACGGTATTATTTGGTTCCTGCGAGGGAGGGGGGACACATAGAAAGTCACATCCAGAGAGCAGGTCAGGTCAAAGAGGTTAAGAATAAGACATGTAGGCCATTACTACAGGCTCCTGGTGAAACCACCTTCCCCAGAATTGTGCCAGAGGAGCACAGCATCCTGAGCGCACAGAGGAGAAAGCAAGTGAGCCAGAGGGAGCAGGTACAAATTAAAGGTCACCAGGAACGCATGCTGCGGGGCAGAGAGCTGGGAAAACAGAGACTCAAGGAGGGAGTCTTGAGAAAAGGCCAGAACACGCCGCTGACCCATGGGAGGCACAGGAGAGCAAAGAGAGAGGTGAAGGAGTTTGAAAGCATCACTGCATATCCACTCCTGCAGCCATGCAGTAGAAGTCGGATCAAAGTGAATGTTCTCGTGGAAAAGAATAGAGAAGAAGGGAATACTGCCATAAAACCACATCAAAGAGAATTCCTAACTATGCCGCCCTTTTTGAGAAGCCAAGTGGGAAAAATAAAAGACTGTCGAGTTTCAGCGCTTTTAGAATAAAATCATGTCTCCGAAGTGGACTTTGTTTTTTGAACTATTTCCCATCTCTCCCCAGAGTTGGGTGAGATTGCATCTGTATCACATGGTTCTGGACTTGAAACCTGGCTGTTTTTAGTTGGCCTCTCTGCTCAGGTTGCTAATCCTCTGATGTTGTTTTTCTCCTGTGTTGGGTGGTTGGTCAATGATCTGAGTGAGGGGTTGTTCTCAGACACCTCCCACCTTGCCCCTGCCCCAGCCCTTGACGGGTGTCCTGATGAGACTGCTGAAGGTCAGTGTTGGGTCTTTGATTTCACATTCATAATTTTATCAGGGAGCCACTAATGGGACCCTACAGCTTTGTTTGTTTGAGGAACTTAATTCTGACAGCCTCCTATATGCCAGGTATTATTAGTTACTGGGAGTGAATGAAAAGAGGTCCCTGCCCTTGATTGGTTCACGAGTAATGGCATAGACCACTCCCCACTCACAACGTGGCCTGGGTGATGCTGGAGGCGTGCACAGGCTCTGTGCAAAGGAGGGCACCTGGCCAAGCCCAGCTGAGCAAGGAGGGAGCCCATGGGAGGGGAGTAGTTTCTCAGGTTGCCTCCAGCTGCACACGTGGCCATGAAAGCAACATCTTCCCAGCATTGGATCCACTCAGAGGTAAAGCAAACTCTCCCTCAAACAGATGTCCTCTAACACTCATTGATAACTCAGAAAACAAATTTATGCATTTAGTGGGAATTTCAGTAGCCAAGCAGAATGAAATTTATTGATTTCATTTTCAGTTCATTTTCTTCCCAGATACCTAAAAGTTGGGAAAGTAGGCGTTCAGAGGTGGTGAGTAGAGAATCAGAGACATGGAAAAGGCACACCGTGGGGAGTGTCACCCTTCGGCTGTGGGGGTCCTGATGCCCCCCTCCTGGGCCTGCCTCTTGCATCCCCCAGTGATGGGGCTGTCCTGCACTGCTGCTCCTCAGCATGATAGCCACCTCCCACCTGTGCCTGCTGCACACCGCCCTCGCCTTTTCTGGCCTTGCGTCACCATGTCCCAGTGGCAGACCCTCAGCCTTGTAACAGGGTGTATTGTCCAACTTAGAAACCCCAATCAGTAGGGCTAGGGTAAGCCCTTTGAGTTGAGTGGGACTGAAAAGCAACCTGGTACACAACTGTAGGGGCGCCTGGCTGGCTCAGTCAGTGGAGCAGGTGACTCTTGATCTCAGGGTCATGAGTTCGAGCCCCACGTTGGGTGTACAGATTACTTAAAAAAAAAAAAATCCAGGGACACCTCGTGGCTCAGTTGGTTGCTTAAGTGTCCAACTCTTGTTTTCAGTTCAGGTCAGGATCTCACACTTCATAGGATTGAGCCCCACGTTGGGCTCTGCGCTGACAGCGTGGAGACTGCTTGGGATTTTCTCTCTGCCCCTCCCCGTTCTCTCTCTCTCTCTCAAAATAAATAAACATTTAAAGAAATACATAACTGTAAGGGATTGTTTACCATGAAGGTTTTCAGCGCTAGCCACGGTGAGGTCGGCCTCCCTCTTTCTCCTCCAAATCTAGTGTAAAAGCAGCTGGTGATTGCAAGGCACTTTCACAGCTCATCCATCTCAGAGTAAAAGTCTGGTAAGAGGGTAAGTTTGGCCAGACCTGACTCCGTCATGTCTACCTCATAACTCACCTTTCATCTCCTTGAACGGTGTGTGAACAACCATCTTTACCCCAAGCAACCATGAATCATGAGTCACACTTAATGCTTTTCTTCTGTATTCTTTCGTCTTCTCAGTGCAAAGTGAATATACAAATGAAAATGTCTATGTCCAGGCACCCACTGCTGAGGCTGAGACCTGGAACCCCCTGTGCTCCCATTTACACCCCTCCCTCATCCCTAGAGGCAGTCACTGGCCTGAATTTTGTGGTAATTAACACCTTTCTGTAGTTTTCGTCATCTATGTATGTATTCCTAAGTGACATAATTGTGCATAGTTACCTGTTTATGGCATGTATATAGATGAAAATTATATAATTTACTTTTGTTCATTAATATTTTTTAATTCACCCATGTTGATGTGAAACACTATTTCATTTCCTTTCTTTTTTTCCTCTTTGAAGCACGTCTTTTAAAAATTTTTAACGTTTATTTATTTTTGAAAGAGACAGAGCATGAACAGGGAAGAGGCAGAGAGAGAGGGAGACACAGAATCTCAAGCAGGCGCCAGGCTCCGAGCTATCAGCACAGTGTCCCACGTGGTGCTCAAACTCACCAACTGCGAGATCATGACCTGAGCAGAAGTCAGATACCCGACGGACTGAGCCCCCAGGCGCCTCTGATTTGCATGACTTCCTGTAACATGTTCTCCTGGGTTTTCTCCAGCCTCACTGGTTTCCCTTCTGAGGCTCCTTGGTTGTCCTCCTCCCCTCCGCAGTCTCCTGGTGCTGGGGGGTGCGTCAGAGTGACTCATCTCCACGAGCCTCACGAGCTCTACATGGTCTGTTCCCTGAATCTCCACCATCTAAGTGTGTACTTCTTGGGTGGTTCATTCCATGACATGAATATACCACATCTTAATTACCTGCTGTATTGTTGAGGTCATTTCCAATTTTTGGTTTTGTGGGGGTTTTTCACGTTTATTTGAGAGAGAGTGAGTGGGGGAGGGGCAGAGAGAGAAGCTCAAGCAGCCTCCCCAAGGTCAGTGTGGAGCCCGACCTGGGCTCAGTTCCATGAACCAAGAGATCATGACTTGAGCTGAAATCAAGAGTCGGACGCTCAACCAAGTGAGCCACCCAGGCGCCCCTGTTTTTGTGTTTTTTATTCTACAAATAGTACTTCTGTAAACATTTTTGTTTAAGCGTGTTTCTGGGGCATAGTGTGCAGGAGTCTCCAGGGCATCTAGGTTGTGGGACCTTCACATGACAAGCCTGTTCCTGGGGCTTGTTTTCATTCCACTGGTTTTGTGCCCGCAGGCTTGTTCTGTAGAGTCTGTTCAAATATGTGTTGAAAGAAGGAAGGACATTTGTTAACTGCTGGAAACAGCTGTGTCCAAGAGGGCCAAGCCCCCAAATACAGGAACAGTTGATGATGTACCACTTTACCTTCTTAGGTCCTGTCCGTGCGTTAACATAGTCTTTCTTTGTTCTTACATTTTATTTGAGGTACTAAAATACCTTAATTTGTTTTTTAATACCCGTCAGTAACATTCATGATTTTATTTATCCCCTCTCCAGAACTATCTTTGATGCCTTCCAGACAAGGTCACCCCATTTTCTCTTCTCAAGGCACCTGGCATCATCATAAAGTTTCACTGAAGTCTGCATAAAAGGGTTCCCAGAGGAGGAGGACAGGGAGCTCACATCCCTGGAGACACTGGTCAGGACCTCTAGCAGTTCTCTGTTGTCTGTGGGACAGGAGTCCAGCTTTCCAGCCCTGAGCACTCCGTGGCTTCAGAGGAGATGCGAGACACTGGAGGCCCATTGACTGATTCATTCCACACGTGCTGAATCTTGTTAGTCCACACTGTGCTGACTGACTGATGGAAGGGTGGGTAGGGCAGGGTCCTCCTCATCGTGTGAGCTTGCAATCTCATGGTCCAGATGGGGATCGATAATCCTAGTACAGAAGTAATAAAGCTAATAGAAACATCTAAGTGCCTCAGAAACTGTGGAGAAGGACTGGCCCTTTGGACTAGAGCTAAAGAGCCCCTTCGTGAAGGTTTACAGCTTTACGGAATAGGTGGATGCTCGTGCTGAAGGGGAGAAGTTTGATAAGCAGGTGAGAAAGAGCACGTGGGCCCAGGGAACAGCAGGTGCACAGGACCCACACGTGAGTGGCTCTGGGTGAAGGCTAGGGCGGTGCCTGCAGCCAGGAAAAGCTTCCCTGTCTGGACAGGTGGGGATTGTGCAGCAGCAGTCCGGCTCAGTTGGGACGTGCGGAAGAACAAGGATGGGCAAAAGAACATGGAGATTACTGAATTAATACAATAGCATTAAGAATCTGCCATTCAGTGTTTGTGCTGATATCACTGGCATCCACCCTTCATTAAAATAGGCTTGGAGGGGCACCTGGGTGGCTCAGTCATTAGTTAAGCGTCCAACTTCTGCTCAGGTCATGATCTCACAGTTTGTGAGTTCCAGCCCCGTGTCGGGCTCTGTGTTGACAGCTCAGAGCCTAAAGCCTGATTCAGATTCTGTGTCTCTCTGCCTCTCCCCCGCCCCCAAAATAAATAAACATTTAAAAAATGGGCTTGGAAATTGAGGGGAAAAGTTGAGTTTTAAGAAGATGAAAATGGATCAGGAAGTGCCACAAAGAATATAGCTGTTGGCACAAAAAGGCATGAGCGTACAGTTCTCATCCAGCCAGAACTATTCAAAGGAGAAGTCACCAGAAAACAGGCTGGAGCCAGGAAAAAAAAAAAAAAAAAAGTTGATAGGGATGTGTACTGGTACATCTCTGATGGTAACCAGCCCCACGTGGATCTAAAGTGCAGCTGGTTGAGAAGCCTCCCCAGTCCCTTGCACATGAGCCCCACTCCACTGTCATTATGGGGTGATCACTTGCACAAAGGATGCAGGTGTCCCCTCCCAGCCGGGAGCATTGCTATGGAACCTACGTCAGCTGACATGACATAAACAAAGAGTAAGCCCTGTTTTCCAAATGCTCCTGTCACACCACTTGGTTTTTACAAAAGACCTGCGTGAGCACTTGTTCTCCCTAACTGAAAAAAACCTGAAGAGGATTTTGGCCTTTATGAAAACAGTCACTACTTGTACTTACAGGCCTTTGCTAACAGGGAAGCAGCCTGATGCAAGCCTTCAGAAAGTGGCAGAAGCATGCATTTTGTTGGGAGAACAAGGAAGACCGGTGGAGTCAGATCTTGGGGAGGTGGCCTTTGATCACCGTACCCTCATGGTTTCTGAGTTGACAAGCAATTGCCGAGAGAGGGCCACTAAATAGTTTGTGAATGTTGGTATTTTCCAATACTTGGGTAAGTTTAGCCCAAGCAGCAGACTTGGTGGCTGTGTGCAGACGGTGTAGTTGCAAACTGTTAGGGTTCTCCACGTGATTACGTTTTTACAGTGATAATTTCTCTCCAAAACCAAAGACGCCCGACAAATGCATCAGATGGATTGATAAGTTGTATCTCAAGAAGATAAGAAAACCAGGAAACTTGTTACTGGAGGAGTACCCCCAGCTGATACTGTTTTCCCCCCAAGTTTTCCCCATGCAGATGTGGCAGAAATTCCAAGGAGGTAAGGCACAGGGAAAAAATACACATATGTGAAGAAAGGTGTTTCCTTCACATGGCTTATTTTCTGTGTGTAGCAGGAGGCCAGGTGAGCTGTTTAGAGAGTCTTGAGTGGTGGGTTCCAAGTATACTAGGGACTCTGGAGTTTCTTATAATAAGCTCAGGTCAAGAGTCTGCCCTGTAGAAATAATGTTGGTCACAGGGATGAAAGCACAGGGAATATGGTCAAGACTATGGTAATAGCATTGTATGGTGACCAGTGGTGGCTGCGTTTGTGGTGAGCACAGCAGAAGGCATAGGGTTGTTGAATCATGTGTTGTACATCTGAAACTAATGTACCATCGTGTGTCAACCATACTCACACTTTAAAAAATAATGCTGGGGGGCGCCTGGGTGGCGCAGTCGGTTAAGCGTCCGACTTCAGCCAGGTCACGATCTCGCGGTCCGTGAGTTCGAGCCCCGCGTCAGGCTCTGGGCTGATGGCTCGGAGCCTGGAGCCTGTTTCCGATTCTGTGTCTCCCTCTCTCTCTGCCCCTCCCCCGTTCATGCTCTGTCTCTCTCTGTCCTAGAAATAAATAAAAAACGTTGGAAAAAAAAAATTAAAAAAAAAAATAATAATGCTGGAGGCACCTGGGTGGCCCAGTTGGTTAAGCGTCCACCTCTTGATTTCGGCTCAGGTCATTATCTCACAGTTCATGGGATTAAGCCCCACATCGGGCTCTGTGCTGACAGTGAGGAGCCTGCTTGGGATTCTCTCTCTCTCCCTCTCTGCCCTTTACCCCCCTCAAAATAAGTAAATAGAAACTTTAAAAAAATAATGCTGAAAATTTTGA